CTGCGTTAAAAGATGTGGAACGTTCTCGAAAATTGCGCTAGCGCTTCGACGACCACAATGGGTAATTTCATGTAGTTTTACAAACACTGCGACATTTCTTCTTCTTTTATGGCGGCTATTCATGTATAGCTGCTTTTTTGAAAAGGTGCTGAAATGATTTGTTACAAATTTAACACTAAATTTCGCTAACTTTGCTAATGTTATTCAGGAGGGATAGAAAGGATTATGTCGGTGCAAATTAACACAAGAAGAAGCTATTTTTGGGCAAAACTTTGTACTTTCTATTTTCTACTTTGCAACAGGTTTCAAGGGGGTTCCTAGCGTCACCTATAGAAACGACAGGGTATTAGTTACATATGGAATAGCTTGAATTTAATAAACATTGAAGCCTTTCCCGCATCCATTTGCGGCTAAGCCGATATAACCTTCAACATCAACGCAATAACGTGCGATTATGATGAAAATCCTCTTGAATACATCAATTTACCATTGATATGCCGCTTTTGTAAATACCTTGTACAAATCGCAATCATGCTATCTAGCTAGAATTTTAAAGGTTTAATCCTTTGTAGAATTATCAACTAATTTTATACCGTAATCAAAGTATGTGGAAGGGCACAACATGCATTTGGTATTATCCTACTTGGAAGAAATCCAATTTAATTCTCTCTTATCTAATTTACATAAGTCAATATTTTTTCTTTTATTTACTCAACTTTTGACCAAAGTTACGACAAATTTAGAAGCTTGGCGCGAGTTTGGTGCAATCCCAATCTTTTTGTGTTTTTGGTCTTCCTAGACGGTACAGGAGCACGTAGAACTAAGAAAATGCTTATTCTTACTCTAATCTCTGGTCCTTAAAACTTTCACGTATTCTATAAAGTGTCCTTCTATTCTTAGGCAACGTTTACTTGCGTTGCTGATCGCAATCAACGACTATTTCTCGCACAAAACCACCTAATCACCTTATCACACGTCGCTTCACATTCTCATTGTTATTGTCACAACACAATGGCATTTCTGCCCGTCAATGGTCATACGTTACCGTCGTTTTTCGTAGGACCCATGTGCAAGCAGTTTAACCTTGGGTTTTTTTCACAATGGTCGAGAACCATGAAACCAGTTTGACGATGTGGCATCGGTGCGACGAAGGATTAAACTTCGGACTGCGACAACGTATATGCGCAAATTTGTCGGGTTCTCTGCTAAACTGTGTGCAGAAAAGACTAACCTGCTGTAAACTATGCGATGTTAGATGATAGATGAACGTACGGCTACTACAAAATATCATCGTTTACGTTAATGTGAGCGATAATGTGCACAACTACATCAATAGGAGTTGTACGACCAACCATAAAAATGGGACACATCAACAACAACTTTGTCATCATGGAGGACGCGGACAAGGAGTTGATCTTTTCAAATTCTTATTTTTCGAAACATCTCATATGATCATTAACCATTAGTTCATTCGATCAAAACATTTCGTCGTCCTGATATGGAACGCGCGAGATGATATCGCGTGGATACATTTGCGCGAAAGTGCACTAGTTCAAACAATACATAGTCCTAAGATCAGTTGCCGCGTCGCATTACACTGCGACGCGGCAGGCTGCTGTTCTCTTTATCTAAAGACATAATCTACTCCAATTCCTTGGAATTAAAAAAAAAATTCTTAAGAACCCCTCACTGAAGAATTGCTTGAATCCTGAAGGACAACAAGTGAAGATGCGCGAGCGGCCGCGACGCAGTTTTAAATTCCAAGACAGTGGGCCGTTACTACAAGTCTAAGATGTGCATGAGGGTGTGTTACGGTAGAATTGCGCCTCTGCCTGCCTGAATATCTGGTTTTGGGATTTTGAAGAGTTTTGAGCTCTCGATTTTTGAGTAAATGGATATAAAAAAACAAGGACCTCCACGAAGCTATCATTGACTCCTAGCAAGTGGTAAAACCCATTGCATTTTGAGCTCAGTTTCTTTACTGTGGTCCAGCAATATTTCCCACTTATTAGGATTTAGAGACTCTTCACTGCAATCTTTTCTCTCCTTCTCTTCTCTTTCTCTTCTATCAAATCTACGAAAACCACTAATCTTTCTAGACGTCAAACACCTAATCAAGGTCGTCATGATTCATGATCGGCAGATGAACGGATGTGATCTCTGCTTTTAGAAACCAAAGCCTCTCGAACCTTGGAATGGAGTACGAAAATGCAAGCAGTTCGGGAAACGTTCCATTCAAACCGATATGTTTTGGGATAAATTCACTATTACTACCCCGCAAAGCGAGGACTGCCTATATCTGAACGTTTTTGCC